TACAGAACATCTCCCCAGGCTGATACTTGGCAAACCATGTCCCAGTTCTGAGCCATTAAATTTTTTATTTGTTTTCTGAAAGCTTGTGTTGGCCAATTTTATCCTGAAAAGTGAAGCAACATAACCAAGACAATAATACCTGAACTGTAAATCTGCACCGTGGTGATTTACAATGAAATGACTGGATTAGACTGACTATTGTTCTAGGAACACTCCACATCACCACTGAATGGGACAGAAAAATAAATAGAAGGATAAAGAAGATCTTTTCTTTTATATGAGAGCATGGAAAATCATGCTTAGCACCCCATCTCAACTACAACTTTCCCCCCGGAGCAAGTATGAATCATGCAGACAAGAGCACAAATAAATCTTCATGCAGAAAAATTTGTGTCTGCAACGTCCTCATTCAGTTTGTCTTTGCCAGCTGGTCAGAGTGTGAAAACTCAGTAGCTGTTCAGTGAGCTGAGGAATGGTCACGTTTTAATGACAAGATATTAACATGCAAAAAATGGTTTTTAAGAAAGAAATAGGGCACGTTCTTTCTGGCGATACGGTATGCTCTGCACTGGCACTGTGATGGAGATGATTACTGTGTGCTGCTCTTCAGTGCTCCTGGGTCCTGGGGCATTGCTGCAACTAAATCCATTACTCACATGATCTTTTCCCAAGCATCTCGGCTTGGATGGCCAGTTTCTGCAAAGATGGCACCAGGACAAGAACTCTCAAATGCCTGCAACCCATCAGTGACCACGGCTGTTCATCATCGCTCTTTGCCCTAGGGAAGCACATTAGACTCTTCCAGCCACACAGGACACTTTCCAGCAGCTCTGGCCTGACTTTGGAACAACACTAGCTAAGAGATGGAAGATAGTCCTCCCAGGTCCTGAGGCAACTAGATGCAATTCAGTAGGATTAAACAGGAACAAAACAGGAATGGGAGGATTGTTTCTGTTGCTTTTATCAGCACTGGAGTGGAATCTGATTGTAACTGTGTCCTGTTTACTGATGTGACCAGAACAGAGATGGATGTCCAGATAAAATAAATTAACATTTTATAACCAGCTTCCAAGAAAAAGTAGCAGAGTGGGGATGGAGAAGCAGGGCCTATGTGCAACCCTGTATGTACCTGGCTGATGAGTGCCCGGACTTGCTCTGGAGGATGTCTGACCTTGGCTCAATGGCAGTGCCCTCATCCTCAGCCATGCAGGTACAGGGCAGCTGAGAATGGGTCCTCTCCCACCACCTCAATAGCTCGCACAAGCTAGTAAAGACTCGTGATCATCCCTCCTTAACTTGCTCCTCCAGTTTTCTACCTACATCTGGTGTGTCCCTGCCCAAGGCAAGAGAGTTGGAATTAGGTGATCTTTAAGGTCCCTTCCAACCCAAACCATTCTCTGATTCTATGACTTTACAAAACATCCTCATACTTAATTAATTTCTGGGAACACTCACCAGGACTTTATGACTGGTTTGGATCCCTTTCTTAAATTACATTTCCTTTGCAGTATATTTAAACACCTTGGCAGTGAAGAAAAATCAGGATACTTTCATGTGAGAGTTTTTCAAAAAGAAATGTAAAAATGGAATCTTTTTGTTAACCAGGAGAAGCAGAGAAAGCATCAATCAGACTGTGAGGTACACACAAAGAAATAGCCTGCAGAGGTGTCCAGCATTTTCTTTTTTCTGTATGAAGGAAATGCAGGATAGGGACAATAAAGTATAATGACATGCATAGTCTCACTAAAGCCCCAGTGCAGTCTTTTAATAGAACAAACCATTCTGCACTCATGTTCAAAAATAAGTCTACTATTATAATACACAATGAGGCTACTTTATGGAATGTTCGCCCAGAATTCATATCTGAAAGCAGAAAATTATTTAAGCTACTAGAGTTCAAAGTGCTGCAAAATTCTTGACTTCATTCTGGAAAGCCAGAGGTCAAAATTACACTAAAGAAGAAAAAGGTCAAGAGAAAAAGTTGCCACTTCAGCAATCATCATTCAGGATGGTATCAGTACAGAGATGAAGTAAAGTCTAATTTCATTGTAATGCATTGCAGAACACAGTATTTCTCCATAATGAGTGTTCACTACATTCTTACAAAACAAGCTGCTCTTGGACTGTATTATTGGAGGAGTGAAAAGAGACACCTAACTATCTCTTTCTAAAATCAACAATTCTTTAAGGTTGGTGTACTTGGAGTAAACCAACAGAAAATGGAACAAATATGTCAACAACAGCAAGCTTAATGACTGCAGGAGTCAAGAAAAGCAGAGAAGCAAAATGAGAGAAAAAAACGAAAATTTTGTATTTTTGTACTTTTCACAGTATTTGTGAAAGGTGTCCAAGAAGGTGATATGGTCAACATGAAGGCACTGGGCTGACAATACCTGCTGAAGCCAGCAGTTTAAAATTGCTCTGCCAATAGACTGCAGCTTCAGCAGTGATGCAGCCAGAAGAAAAATCTGTGGCACAACAGGCACAGCACCGTATTTCTGTAAAGGATGGAAATAACCCAAACAAACTGAGACTGGTTCTAGCTATAAAATTAAAATTAAATTAAAGAAATACACTCATTCTACTGGACTCTGTGCAGCTGGAAGGCTGCAGCAACCCTTGGAGTGCTGTGATTTCTGCCAGAACATGGACCAAAAATCCTGGTATTTCAACTGAAGAAAGGATGCCTTTAAAGGCATTGGACTTACACCAAAGCTGCTAAAATGGCAATAAAAATTCATCAGTACACACAAGCTGAGCATGCACGATGCTTGATTAAGAACATCACCTTGAAACATCAAACATCTTTTCTCTTTTTTTTCCTGAATTCTCTCTAGCAATGATGAAAAATCAGGAAAAAACAGCTGAGAAAAACAGGGTGACACGCATTCTATCTTTCATGCATCTCCAGACTATATTCTTCAGCAAAATGGCAAAATTTCATCTAATCAGACCAAATAGGTAATTGAAAATACCTCAGTCAAAAATTGAAAATTATCATGTTTTATACATATGTAAAATGAAAGTTGGTCACATTTTGCTATGAAGGATCTCAACATAATTTGGAACCTCTTAAGACTCATGAAATCTCTCAAGAAAAGAAGAGCGATCTGGACTCCAGAAAAATTAAGTCTCAGTTCATTTAGCAGATGAGCCACATTTCAGTTAGAAACAAAACATTAAACAACTGGGAATGTCATAAAAATGTTATGCTTCAGCTGTATTAACTGGCAGAAGTTGTACTTGCATTTCCAGTAAGCTATGTGAGTGCTGAAAGAATGTTTTTGGTACTCCAATTTATCCCTTTACCGTAGAGGCCCAATATTACAGAGTAAATAGCAGAAAATGTTACTTCAGTTTTGTCAAATAAATCATTCAGGAGATGCATGTTTGTTTGACAACATTAGAGCATTAGTGTATGTTCTGCAAAATTACCATGCAAGAAGGAGTGATCAAAAAAATTAAAATATCAACTACTTATTTATACTTCTATTAGGATTAAAACCAACTTGAAAGTACAACCAAATACTAAATGTTTTATTTTATTTTTCATACCATGGACCACAGCAAGAAAAAGAAACCAAAGGAAAGGCAGAATGAAATAAAACTTTGCTTTACTTCTAGATATATGTCCCCCCCAGACCTCCCAAATCCTGCAGTCCTGCACAGCAAGACCATAGACCTTTGCTGCAGCTGTGCTTATGATTCCCCACACTGGGAGGTTCATACAGACCAGGAAGGCTGAAGTTCAAAACACATCTTTGCACGGATAAACCTGCTCATGAGCAAGGCAAAGCAGCTAGAAAGGTCCTCTCTCACACTCTCCATCTGGAAAAATAAGCTCTACAGTTCATTTCAGTAATTATTTTAGCACACCACACAACCATATTCCACTAGAAAGCATCCAGAGAAGGAGTGATAAACTAATAAGGATATTTTTTTAGCTGGAAACCACTTTACAGTAATTAATTTCTGGTCTGTGTTTGACCAGTGCTATTCTGTACATAGATTGAAACTTGAAAGAGTATTTGTATCAAAGCACACACGCTCCTTAGCACACAGACCCCACTAAGCTCATTTCCTATCCAAGTGCAGTGTACAGTTTAAAAGTTAATTCCTCCCCTACAGAGGTTATGGGCTACAGCAATATTCCCTCCTTTAACGAGGGGGAATACTGCTGTGCTGGGAATATTTCCATGGCCAAATTAAATTCTGGAAGTACTTACTCCCAGTATAGCCCAGAGCCCAGTTCTGTGACCTTTCCTTGCCTCTCTTTATGGCCTGACCTCACCACAGCAGAGTCGAGCCCACGGCTGAGAACAAAGCACGGGGCCGGTGCTGCCCTCAGATGTGCTCAAGACACTCTGCCTTCTTGAGCAGGCTGCTCAGGTACTACTGAAGGTACAGTTTGACCCCACGCTTTGTAGTCTACCAGGGTAGACTGAAAGTGATGTGTATTCAGAGAAAGTCCTCAAGAAAGTCTTTTCAGACTATGATTAAAAAAAACACCAAACCCGAAATTAAAGGGAGAAGGCAGAAAACCTCATACATTTTTCTTCAGTTTGAACAAGTTTGACTATACCTTAATGCTCATGATAAAATACTAAAAACTGATGATAAAAGAGAGTAAGGCTTTCTTAGCTGAGAGAAAGAATGAGAGTATATTTAGGAGAAGCAATGTGTTCTATAAATAGATTAAATGATGCACACTTTGTTTGAGAGAGCTTTCAACACAGTACACAAATTAAACATTTCCAGAAATTCTGTTGGGCCTACGTAACTGGGTGGTATTGTGGGCTCTCAAAATGACCTTTCAAATTTAAAAAAACACAAAGGTCTGTATACATAATGGAAAATGTGCCTTGATAAACATAAGGTACTTTGTTGACTGTGGTTGAAAACTGACTGTTGAAGTAATCTCACATGGACACAAAATGAGACCTTGTTTTACTTATTTATTTAATTTTACTTCTTTAGCAAGGTCACGGGTTTACAGACATCGCACAGAGAAAATGGAAACTTGTACCTCATCACAGTAGTAAGCAGATCCAGTGTAGCTCTTTGGCACACTTGCTGGCCAGAGCTGTCACAGTTTTCATCAATGCATCTGCAGAGGAATAAGCATTCTCATCCAAAGACCAGACACAGTGTTACAGGGTTGTTGGACCCACCTTAGTGAGAGTCTGCAGAAGGAACGCAGCCTGCCCCACCCCCACTTCTTTCAGCCCTTGGGCAGCCCAATCCATCAACCTACCTTGTTCAGAACTCTGACATTCATCCCAGGTAGGCTAAAGAAGTGCTTGGATTTTTTCAGTGTCCCAGCTTCTCTTGGAAGAGGCAGAGAAAGGTTTCTGTATGCACAAGACCGCCACTTCAGTGGACAGATCTTCACCACTCAACAGGAGAAAACTGAGGAGTCACACAGACAAAGATGGAGGACACCTTGCCTGACACCCCCTGTGCTGATCCATCCCCACACTCTGAGACCCTTTCCTAAAGGCACTGCATTTAGTCCTAGGCCTGGAAAGTACAGGCTTATCTTTCTTCACACAGTTTAGGGATGCTTCCTGATGGTTTCTGTGCTCACTTTTATGTTTTGTAAAACCTACTACATTTCCAGTTGTATCTCTTTCATCATCTACAGCAGCCTTTCCCCTGCTCCTCTACTGCCTCAATGTGCCAATAGCACTTTGGGAAAAGAACTGGAAGTACAGCTCCCTCACCTTGCTCTGCTGTTACCTCATAATCCTGGTTCTGACTCGCTGCCACACTCAGGTGATGGCTTCTCTCAAAGCACAGGAGAAGTTCTCTTGGTCTCTAGTGCCACATAGTGCAGGAAACACCAGTGTTTTATGAGTAGTTTGCCTTGCCCTGTCTCCATATCACTGTCTTTGAATGAACACTTTCATAAAACATATTGATGTCTGCTGGTGAAAAGCATTGCAGGTAAGGGAGGAAGAATCACTGTTGACTTACCTGTAGTTCTGGGAGGAGCAAGGAGCTATCTGAAGTGGGTTTATGCTCCTGTCTTCTCCAAGGTGGGGGTTGGTTTTCCTCTGTGGCAGTAACAATGTCTACTCAACAGGATCCACAGTCCAACTCACTGTTTTATTATTAAATTACAGACCCTGAAATGCTCAAAACAAAAACTAATTAGATCAAAGACTACTTGTTTTGCACATCACCATGGCAATTTCACTTTCTCCATCTAGCTATTTATAATGATGATAACCTCTGCAATAAAACTTGAAATAGATACAAAGACACAACCAAGACAAAACAAATTACAGAAAATGAATGTTTTAATTGGCAGCAAGTCCATTATCCTCTGCCCAAGGATACCACTGTTGTGTAGGTCCAAGAAGAAAAAGGTATGGCCACAAGAACTAGCACATAAGCAGAATTTAAATGCATGCAGAAATGCAACCCGCAAAATCCCCAGCCACTTGCTGTGTTACCCTAAAATCCATACATATATTGGGATACTTTAGCTTCAAAACTCTCCAGACACCCAGAGTTCACCCTAAACCATCAAGCATTAGGACATAAATAGTCCCCAGAATCAGATCCCAGAAGTGTTGCAAAGCAGTGTTACTCTAGGCAGTCTCTGCTTCAAGAGCAACAATTACATGTACACCATTCTTTGCAGGATTGTCCCTCGATGACAACACTGGAGCTCTAGATCACATGGAGTGGCAAGGTCTCCCAAGCCAATTCTCTTCTCTCCCTCCTTCTCAGCCCCCTGGTCAAGGCACAGCAGCCACCCAAACATGGATCCTGACCTGCCTGACAAGGCACAAGCATGCCAGAGGTCAGCCTCCCCCTCTTTCAGCTCAGTGGGGAGCTGAGCTTGTTTCAGAGGAACTCCAATGAAGAACATCTCTCTGCCTCTCCTTTTTTATGATTTTTATTGTTGGCATCACAGTCCTACCGAGGGATGCAAGGGCTAGGAAGGATCTACCCAAACGGACATCCCTGTGACCAAGAGGGGCAAACATGCTCAAAAAGGGAGCAGATAGATCAAAGCCTTGAAAATTAGAACAAGCAACGTTATTTGGCACTGTAAACAAGAGAACTGCCAGATCCCATCCAAAATATGTGTGGCAGGTTCTATGCCCTGAAACACGGCTTTCACGTGCTCTGCTCCTTTCTGTACATAGAACTTTCCCCAAAGCACAATCTTTTTGTGTTTGTACAGATGTACTCAGTTCTGGGCAAGGCTGCTCATGAGACACATGCCCACATAGGCAGGCAAACAAGGATCTTCACAATCAAAGGAAAGCATTCACAATTCGTCCGCCTTTATTTTACTGTTTATAAATACCCAGTTAGGAATTAGGGGAAAACCACTCTGTGGTTTAAGTAGCCAGTCTGCTACCACAAAAGATGAATAGTGAATAGCTGAAGTGAATGATTCCCAGAAAACTCATACTTGGAGAACGGTTTGTCTGTGTCATTCAGCAAATGCTTATGAATAATGAACAAGAAGTAGGAACATGACCAGAGGACTGATTAAACTGATCAGAGTTTTTTTTCACATTTAAATATTTATCAAGCACTACATATACAAAAATATATATGTATATTGGGGGAAGTATTTACACACCTCACACTCTTGTGCATACACAAGCCAGAGCATTGACAGCAGTGTATCATCTGTCAGATGGTAATGAGCAATGATAATGGAAGTGCAGGAAATTACTGCCCATGTGCAACACTACCACATCAACTACATTTTACTTTCTTGTTTCATCTCTCCCATATGCTACAAGCAGGTTATTAGCATGACCAGTACTCCTACTGAAAGCTTGATGGCCTTGCATCAGCAAGGCACATGGGTGTGAAAAAGGGAAAAGACCTGACAAACTTCTTCACAGTGGTCCTTATGATACTGATGATATTGGAAGAGGTGAGAGCTGAGACAGTCATTTTACGAACACTGCCACTGAAATTTCCTGGCCAAAGACTGTCAGAGATGCTATGTGCAAGGAATTCTGCCTCTCATCTTACAGATATTCTCCTCTTGCTGCAGTGATTTATAAGCCTTCAAAGGTAATCTGGCAGGGAGGGTCACCTGAATAACATATGACACCAAATTGTCATAACAATTTCTTCACAGGTACCATGCATATTACTAGACCCCTGTTTGCAAACCCCTTTTTGACAGCCCTGTGTGGGAAGCCACTATAGGGTCAACCACAAATAATACAAAAATATTTCTTTTCCTGTTAAGACATGCCTACTAGGTCACCAAACTCTGACAAACTCTCCAGTGTAACTGGGTGAAAACCAGATTTTTTTCAACTGCCAACTGGAAAGAAGTATTTGGGGTTGACTTTTTTTTTCACTGTTAAATATAGCCTGATTTCAAAATGAAAATATAATTTTAAACAAAATGTCAAGATGCTTTGCAGGCATTCCCCCCACTTTTCATCAAAATAATTTATCAAACTTGATGCAAATTGATTCAATTACTCTAAAACTGCTATAAATGTACATATTGACTAAAAATGTTTTCTGCTTAACTCCATCCAAAACATGCACAACACTTGTAAGAACTGATGGGGGAAACTGTGACTAGGATACAGAAATATTTAAACGTCCAATGCAAATAAAGTGCAAACATAATGAACTCACTACTACAGAAATATCTTGGCACATTTCCACCTGGAGCCAGTGCGATGATTAACTGGCCACATGCACTAATTATTTGAGGTTGATGTTTACATCAGCACTGTGCAAATTGGGTGTCATTCTGCTCACAAAAAACCCCCTTCAACTGAAGCCTGGAGATTAGATCTTCTGTGCCTCATGCAACACGGAATAAAATACAACAAGAGCCTCTGGGATTTCCAAGCAGAGATTTGGGCAAACCCAAAGTAGCCAACAGCCCAGGCAGGGAAATCCCTTGCTGTGCTGGCTCCAACAGGACGCAGAGAGCTTCTCCAGAGCAGGAGTCACTTGCACAGGGACTTCCACCATTTCTGTTCCACTGGAAACACCTCTAACAATCTTCTCACCAAATCCTGTTCCAAGTATGAGTGAATAAGGTACAAGTCTACTAAGGCAAGTAAAGCTTCAGGACCTCCAACATCTGGCATTGTGACATTCCATCTCCAAACCCAACCTTTGGTTAGAGCCCTGTGCCACGAGGAGTGCTGCTAAGCAAGCAAGGACATAGTTTTCTTCTATACATTCCTTTCCATACATGTCTTCAGACAGCATCTAAATTTGCATCCCTCCCTTTGATAAAAAAACCCCCAGATTTGTTCTTTGTCCATGCTTAGAGTGGGCTGAGCAGGATCAAGGCTGAGGTTTGGCTGAAAGGTATCTGTTTGTCTGGTTGTCCTAAGTATACTGAGCAAAAATTATGTTAAAGCTTAGCTGAAAAGTTGTTTGACTCCAACACAACCTATTAACCCAATTTCAGCTACAGGAGCACTTGCAGGCTCTAAGTACTCTTGCTGTTCACTGCCTCTTTTAATATATTCCTGTCAGCTGTGGTTCAGCCTTATCTGTTCTCTGTTTACTCTGCACATATTAAAACAAGGGGAGGGGAAAAGCTACGGGGAAAATCCTAGTATGTTTTTGGTGTGCGACAGCCATGTTACAAATAATAGAAAATTAACGTGGTGGGTTGGTTTTTTTCTTTATTTTATTTTGGTTTGGGTTTTTTTGTTGTTCATATCGACTTAGAGCTGCCTTTCGCATGTATTTCAGGCAGCAACATTAGATCAGTAGCAGCTATGTCAAACCTATTTTTTTCTTATAAAATGTTCAGTTTCTTTCAGAGCTTGTGCAGTCAAGTTCCCATGAAGGGCTGAGATCTGGTGCTCCTCAGCAGCCCTGTGCCTGCGGGGTTGGAATGGGCTGCTTGTTCGTGTATCAGTGCATCATTTCATGAAACGGTGAGGGTAAGGAACGGCCGGAAAAAAGAGCAGGGGTCAAACGAAAACTTCCATAGCTGATTGTTTTAAACCTGCAGCGCGGGGAAAGCATTCCGCTGAGCTTACCTGGGGGCCTGTCAGCCCACGAGATGGTGCTAGAGAACCGCGTACCGGCAGAGCGCGGCTCTGCCCGAGGCCCCTGCGCACGGAGCGGCACCGGCGACATCGCGGCGCTGCCAAGTACCCACCGTGGGGTCTGCGATCAGTTGGAAACCAATGCTCTTTCTACTTCGAACTGAGCTCAATTTGGTCTACTTGGTGTATAATACGTCCTAAAAGAGAAGGTTTAGTCCCGGTATAGTTTGATGCCTCTGTATTTTTGCAAATGGAGCATCCCGGCGAGCAGTCAGGCTGGCAGGCACCGTGCGGGTGGATGAGGGCTCCAGGCTCCTCAGCTCGGCACACCTGACTCCCTGCCCGTGGCCTGGCATTCCGTGGACACAGGCTGACACAATGGCACACATCGAAGCCCATCACTGGGGACCTTCTGCAGGTCAGCAGCCAGAGAAAGAGAAAAACCTTTCCCTCAGGAAGAAAGACAGGTTTGAGTGAAGGCTCGTGATGTACGGAAGCCTGGGAGCTCGGATAGGGAGGAGGGGATGTCTTCCTCCCAGGCAGGCTCACTGATGGGATGAGTGGAACCCATGGGGGAAGGCACGCAGCAGGCTGAGAACATCAAGCACTATGATGCTCTCCCTCATATTTTAATAAAGCCATTTCAG